CTAAAAATCATACAATCCATCCCAAGTAAGGAAAAAAGCAGTGTTACGGGATTTGAGTAATCTTTTATAAGTGTTAATTAAATATTTGTTATTAGCTTCGTTACATGTTGGTGGTGAAAGTATAATAAGCGCACCAATCATACACAAAAATTGTAGTGTGAAGTTTTATTCTTTTGTTCCAACAGATCTACAAGAACATATTGTTATCATTTCAAAAGGTGTGCATTCACATCCACCGCCTCCCCCCAACCAAGACTCCTGTAGATATAGTATCGGAATTGCAAAAAATTATTAATAGTGAAAATGTTGTAAAATTATTATAAAATATATTTTATTTAAATAAATATAGGCCCTATGTTGAAAACTTACTTAAATGGCAATCAATTAAGTGAACTACACCCATCATTGAATACCTCAAAATTAAGATACTACATCCAAAAGCAAAAAAAATTAAATTGCCCTCATGGGAATGATATCATTTGCATCACTTTTTATCATGTATAAAAGAAAAACTGGACTAATTCCTTTTAGATGAAATAGGATCTGAAATTATCAATTCTATCCCGTTTAACAAAAATTTTGATTTAGTCATTTCTTAAAAAATACTATCAATAATATACCAATAATAACTTGCTTTTTTTTTTTTTTGAATAGAATTATATATGGGACATTGCATAATTTTTTTTCAAATCATGCGCACATTGCTTTTTTTTTTTCATGCATCTCTTATTTTATTATTTCGTAACATGTTATTCTTTATTTGTTATAATATAGAAATTAATGATAATTTATTTTGCCAGGTGTTGGTTAAATCGCCCTCACACAAAGAGGGCAGAATAGTCAGTTATAGACATTGTAACCATTAGTAGGTTAGATTACTCTGAACGGGTTACTAATTAATTAACATGTACATAAGAAGCGTAAAATTAACTTTGTAATAAGTTTTATAAGTTAGAAGTGACTTGATTAGTTTGTCTAAATAAAATTTAAAATATTTATCATTGTCAATTAGAAATGCGCTCTCCCAATTCTATAATGAATAGAAATTATTTGTTTTATAATCAATTGATTGATAATAACAAAAATAAATAAATGAATATGATAAATATTTGTTTAATACTTCAAAATAAATTAAAAAAACAATACAAATTTG